AAACGAAGGACAGGGAACAGGAAACAAAGCACAGGAAACAGGAAACGAAGGACAGGGAACAGGAAACGAAGCACAGGGAACAGGAAACGAAAGACAGGGAACAGGAAACGAATTCTCGAGAAAGATAGACGACTGCAATATCCAATACAAGAACAGCCGATCCACATATGAAGCTAGAGAAACTAAAACGACAATAAAGTATTTCGTTAAAAAATACAATAAATATAAGAGAGCCGTGGTAAATAATCACACAAGAACGTGTCACAACGACTGATAACGGGTCAGACACAAGAAAATCCAGAATGTTTTCAAGAAAATAATGACAGCAGTCAGACAAAATTCATTTCTAAATCCATGACACACAGATGCTTGCTCATGCAAATAGCATTTACAATCGATAATATTCAGATTATTGATTATTTTTCCTCCGATAATATACGGGTACATGCAGCCTTGATCCTGGGAACTGATAATGGACTATCATGCGAAATTGTTTACATAGATCCTTTTCCTGCAGCAAAATATTCAGATACAAATACTACCTGGCCACACACAAAAAACACATCCACACGTGACACCACAGCCAAAGGTGGAAGACCAAGGCCGATGTTGCTTTCGTAATCGAAAGAGTTGCGAAATCACATATATTTCCTTAATATTTATCAGCAGCAAATATGAGGCCAGGGTAGCTGCTGCATCACCAGCAAAACATGTTTGTTACCAACGCAGGCACATCGATGATAGATACGAATGGACGGTGACTAATTCATGTCACCTGAAGCAGTGGTCAGTACTACATAGATCGAAATCCACTTGAAACCTTGGACAGTACCACAATGACAATAGAAGCAGAGTACAAAGCACGAATGCTCCCAGCAGAATACTGTCATATAGTGTGCACTGTTACTTGGTGAACACAGGCAAAATTTGTCCACATCAATTAGTACCTTGCTGCCCACACACATTCAGCTATTGTAGGGCCATTTTGTCTACGATCTGTTTTTACTCGAACATGCAATCGCATTGCAATAAAAGCAAATGAAAACGACTTCCCAGGGCGAGTTTTAATGTCATTGGATTGAATATCAAGCACATGATCATAGAGTATTTAACTAATTTGGGTAGGTGGTGGTGGGGGGTCATTAGTTATCACAATCTGTGCAATAGCTGCATACCACAGTCACGGGAAATCTCTTCAGACACTATTCTGCGTTCGGAGCTACACACATTCAGTAAGGCATCTCGTAAACTAACCAGATGCTTTATGTACCGTATTTACTCATGTATAAGTCACACTTTTTTGTACACAACTTCAATAAAAAAAAACCAGGGGTGCGACTTATACACGAGGCCAAGAAATCTTGTTAACGTACCAATGTTTGTTACCAACTTTTCAAGGCAAAATATGGGGTGCGACTTATACACAATAGGACTTATACACGAGTAAATACGGTAAGTAACTAATAAACATGTTTGTGATGTAAATCCTTAAATAAGTTTATTCATTTGGTTGATAATACAGATAACTTGGTTGATTTCTACTCAACCGTGAGGTTCGCATCCTAACAGGAGTAGGGACAGTGATTTTCCGCGATCGCGGAAAACGGACGGAAAACACGGAAACGGCCATTGGAAACGAAAAAGAGGTTTTCAAATGGAAAAATGCGGAAAACGTAATTTGAACATTGATTTTTTTGAACATGGAAATTTCAATAAAATCATTAAAAAAACGTTGACAATAGCATTGGAGGTGATATGGGTTACATTCAGACAAGTTTCAGAGCAAAATGACTTACAATTACGTCTTTTGGTAGCCCTGTGTTTCGGTGCCAACCCAACTGTCAGTCAGTGACCAAATACATTTTTTTCATGCAAATATATATGTAAACGGAATTTTGCATTTTTGGTGTGTACAATCTCTATGGTAAAACGGAATTTGCATTTTTTCTTTACTCTGAAATGGAATTCATGATTTCCCCAAACGATAAAAGCAATTTTTTTAAACGGAAAATCACTGTCCCTACAGTAGGCTTTTTCAAAGCGGACTCCAAAAAAGTATCCTGTTAGGATGCAAAACGTTAGCAGGTACGTTTGAACCCCACTGTTCAGTAGAAATCAACCAAGTTAGGCCACCCTTAAAAAATTGTTTGTTTCCCCTTTACCTACTCGCCTCTCAGGGTACCGAGCAGGTAGGTGAAAAATCTTTTTTATTTTGTTTTGACAAGATGTGTGTATTGTGTATTCTGTTTTGTGTATATGTTTTTGAAGAACGAATTTGATATTTTTTTTTTTGCGAAACGAAATAATTTTTGTTTTGTTTTAATCGGCCAATAAAATGTGTCTAGTAGCGCCGTTTTGGCGAGTCGGTCGGTAAAGGGGGAAACAAGCAATATTTTATTTTAGGCCTTATCTCAATGTTTGTGCAACATTGCTGCTTACCTTAGCTGACTGCTTCATCTTCACGCCTCCCGATTCCAACATCCCTCTTCAGCAGCAGCCTAGCGATTTTCGGTTTATGGCTTCAGCTCTGTGGAGTCTCGCTCAAAAACCTCTATAATTATTGTAAGTTACACCTGAAATGTCTCCAAAAAACACTACAGCAATATCACACATATATACGCTGGCGACAACATGATCATTGTTCCAGGAAACAGTGACATACACACACACACACAAATGCACACATAATCATAACACATATACACACACATATATATACAGTTAAACCTCGATTATCCGAACGAGACGAGCGGGGAGTATTTTGTTCAGATAACTGATCTGATCTCATTAATTACCGTTAAATATTCACGGGACCTTGAGATCTTGTTCGGATAATTGATGTTCGGATAACCGACGTTTGACTGTATCCCCATACACACATATACACACATACACACACACATATATAATATACATACACATAATATATACGGATACGTGGCTGCGCTCTGCGACCCCCAAAACAACAACGCCGTACCCGCGCGCGCGACAACGCGGAACACGTGGCGCCACCTACCTTCGACGAAGACGAATCCGATGAACGTCACCAAGACGGTGGTGATGGCGAAGCAGAGAAACAATATCATCGGCAGAACGCACATGATGAGGGTGGTGATGAAGAACATGGTCATGTACGGGTGCGTCTCCGAGTACTGTACGAACGCGACCCAGGCTTCCTGCACGCGAGGTCCGTACGCCGCCTTCACACGCTGGTACAGGTGGCAGCACCTCTCCTGTATGTCCTCCAGAGAATCCATCTTGCACCGAGAACAGACGACAAAGTGGTGTGAGCGCCGGTTGGCGGCAAGATCGACAGAATGCAATTTTTGGGTTTGAGAATTTTTATTTCAGAGCAGTTTTTTGCGCAATAGTGTTCTATTAAGAAATGCTTTATGTAAAATAAAGATCAACGAAGAGAATATTCTATTACAGTCAATTGTACATAAAATTTAACTGGTGTAGGAGATTGGGTAAATTAATGTACCGATGGCAGGTCAAGCATTCAGCACCTAGTATAAATGAACATAACTCTGGCCGTGTGACCAGCATTGCAACAATGGATATTAGACAGAGACGGTAAGTACCCCTGGTCAACATACAGTCAGTGTTAGATTAGCTATGACCATTATTAGATTAGATTAGCTATGACCATGTATTGTATCAATGTATGGGATGGCCTTCGCTACAAGTGTACATGATATAGTACCACATATACTCATATAGTAATAGTATATCTATATCGGATAAAGTAAGTCCCTGCACAATAGTATGAATATATACATGAAAATCGAATTGAGAACGAAAAACCTACTACTAACCCGACCAGGCTGTGTGACTAACGTCAGTACACTAGTGACTAGGGGTATTCTAACCCTAGCCTTAGGCCTACCCCTAGCCCTAGCCCTAGCCCTAGCCCTAGCCCTAGGCCTACCGTTTCTTGGAGCTACCTACTACATGAAACAGGAAAATTGCTACAATATCGAAATGATATTTCGTTAGTTTCAGACGTTACCATAATAAGTTAGTACTGCAGTACTCAAACACACCTTCAGGAATCGCGACCAAAACACATATTTAGAAAAATATTGACATTTCGTCATATCTCAGTTATCTGAGTGAGTGTAAATAAATAATTATGTAGGCTGTCCACAGCCAAAAGATGGACTTCCATCACCGATGGCTTTACGTTTCTACTGGTCAGCTCGAGTAAAATACAACACATTTAATATCACTGTTATTATTTTGTACTTACGATGTCCACGAACTTTCAGGTTATTATCCTGAATTGACAGAGAATAACTAGTAGTTACATCAGTACTACACTACTAAATACTCTGACGCAGGTGGCGGTGGCAGTAGCATAGATATTCGGTTATAGGTAAAATCCACCAGCAGATGGCGCCCATAGACAGCAAGCTAGCAAGCTCGTCATACATGTATCCATAGAAATAATATAGATAGACTCTATAAATGTGTCCTATGGTCATATCACAAAAAGATTAATATAATACACATATATAATATTACTACACATATGCAGAACTACAGCATACAATTTATTAATGCTAAATGGTAATATATTCAATGCATGAAGTTCACACGAAACTTTGGCCAACATTCAACAACCCCCTCATCTTCCTCCTCCAGTCCTCCTCCTCCCCTCCTCTTCTTCTTCCTCTTCTTCTTCTTCTTCTTCTTCTTCTTTTTCTTCTTCTTCCTCCTCCTCTCATCCCCTTCCTCTTAGCTCATCCTTTCTCCTCCTCCTCCTCCTCTTTCTTATTCTCCTCCTATTTTCCCCTTCCTCCTCACCGTCTTCCTCTTCTTCTTCTTCTTCTTTTGGATCTGGATCTGGTGTAATTCTTCTTCCTCCTCATTCCCTCCTCTTCCTCTTTATCTTCTTTTTCTTCTTCGAACTCCTTCTTTGACTCCTTCTCGTCCCTTCCCCATCGTCCCCACTCGATCACCGTATAGTACTCAGTAATAGTAGCGCTCACTGGTTTCCACGCCTGTGTTTTTCGTCAAACGACCCTACTGCTCAATCTGCTCTAGCGTTTGTTACTCTCTCATTCCTCGACATTACCTAGCTTCTATCATAGCTATATACAAACATGTGTTTGTAGATAATATCTATGCTTCTGTAGTGGCCCTAGGGGAGGCCACACTGGATTTTCACACGCGCTGTGGTTAGCACGTGTAATTTATTTGTGTCGGGATCATTTTCCGCTCCTACCGTGAAGGTAGGACGGTGATGCAGTAGCAAGAAAACCCCCAGATAAGAGTGAAATGAACGCAAGTCCTTAGATAGTCTTTATACAACGGATGGTTTTATTCATCGTATACGAATAACATGAATAACGTTCACTGCACGTATCTCAAATATAGCGTATATATATATATATATATATTACTCGTGAGTCGTGTCACGTTTACGTTACCTCGTTAGGTGATCACACGTACGTTTAACTTCTCTTAGCCATTCTACTCTTGTAGTCCCCGGCACCGCTCCTCGTCTGTCTCTCCCCGTCGTGTGCTCCGCGGCTCGGCGCGAGTTCGTGGGGAGGCAGTGTGTCTCCCGGTCCGGGGTAGGCTATAGCTCCGCGCCCCTCCCTTAGTATAGGGTATACCTTTTCGGACGTCGTCCTCAGCGCCGGATTAACAGTTGCCTGGGCCGGGGGCATATCATATATTTGGGCCGCCCATCCACCCGCCCCCTTCCCATAAGCATATAATGTTTTTAGACCTGTTTAGTGGATAATTATAAGCAATTAATGTTGAAAAATGGAAAGGAAACGTTCTAAAATAATTAGTAGAGTTAAAAAAAATTTTAAATCATATTTTGAAAAATTGGTAGTTTTAACCCCACTAGCTACCTGAAAGTGAATATTATTCCTAGCTGCTGCAATGTACACCACAAAACACGGAGAAAATGAAAACAAGTAGAAAGCAAAAACAAATTGTAGTCATATGAAAGTGGTAGGGCCGGCCCAAGATATACTTTGGAAAAAATAATAAACACTATATTTTTTTTGTAGTCACAACACTTTAGGGCCGGTCGACTTGTAGGGCCGGGGGCAAATGCCCCCTTTGCCCCATAGATAATCCGCTACTGGTCGTCCTGCTCGTGGGTGACTCTCCCTCCGACGGTGTGTGTGCGCTCTCTCTCGAGCGCGATCGTTCGTTCGTTCGTTTGTTCGCTTTCTCAAGCGCGTTCGTTCGTTTGTTCGTTCGCTTTTTCAAGCACGTTCGTTCGTTCGCTTTCTCAAACGCGGTCGTTCGTTCGTGGCCGTCCGAAGACCGACTGACTTTACTGTTGGATCTTGGCTGCTTATATAGGACCCTGCGGTGATGTAGGATCCGGGTAGTGCTTCCCTCTCACGTGCCTCAGGTGCCTGGGTGTTGTCACGCCCTCGCTTAACACGTGTACGGGTGATGCAACCCCCTTGGACAAGTATACGCACGAGCGTCGCGCCCTCCCCTGTCCGCCACGTGCTCGGCCGGTGCAACTCCCTCGCCCCGTGTGTGTACATGGTGGCGCAACTCCCTTACCTCCCACATCTGGTAGCTATGGGACCCCCTCCCCCGCACTTGTCTGTGTCGTTGGGGAAAACTTTCTACCTGTCGCTAGGGGAACTTTCTATCTCTGTTGCTGTTGAACTGGTCTCTGGTTGTATGACGTCATCCCCATTGACATCTCCACACTTCTATATGTAGTCGAACAACGCACGCGCGCACCCACGAACGCACGCGCACACACACACGCGCGCACACGCACACACGCACGCGCGCACACACACACGCGCGCGCACACACACACACGCGCGCTCGCACGCGCACAACAACAACAACAACGAAAACAATAAACAAAAAAACAAAAAAATAAAAATAATATGAATAAACGGCTATAAATAAAATAAAATGTTGGTAAATGTTTCGATCGCTATTTTTGTATTACTTCATGCATTCATTAGAAACAATATTTACATAGATAAAATATGCAGCTATAGATAACCTATAACTACGAAGATTAAATGATGAACACACTTATTAATTACATCGTGCAATTTTATCTTTTAGTTATGAAATGCGAGCGTCTCGCATCCAAATGGTATATAACGCGATTTGTGTTAATTCTTTATATTTATTCAGCTTGTTTTTATTTTGCCACAATATATATATATAATTATATTGATAAAGAAACCAGGAGAATATAAAATCCTTAAGTCGGTTAAGCATTTATTAACAATATTATATTGTATTCCTGGTTTAATCAAATGTATAATTATAATCTATAAGTTTCAAAAATCACGAACAAAACAGGATCTACAACAAAGTTCGACAAAATAAAAAATATAAATTACATTTGAAATTTTACGCGTGTAAATAAAGTCCACCCCTCAAATTACTACATGATCTACACCACAGGCACTTGGGACAGAGTCAGTAAAAACTGAAAATAATATGAACGCACATTCACAAATAGGCCCTACTACCGTATAGGCCTACCTCTCAATTACAGTTCTACTGTTGTGTCACTGTATATCAACTTTCCTTCATTAAAACTAACGCCGAACGCTCCCGCACTCGCCGCTGCGAGTGTGCTGTGTCGCCATGATAATAATATATCAAGTAATAATAATAATAAATAAACTTTATATATTATGTCCCAAGTGCCTGTGATCTACACATAGCAATTGCAATAACATATCACAAACAGTACACAATTCGCAACAAGTTAATTTATAAATAAATATTACCCATGCACGTGTAACACCTATACACATAACCTAAAATTTACACATATTCCTAATTTTAAGAATTAATTTCATAATTCTTTAGTATTAATTTCTGAGGCAGATCTTGCCATATATGTTCTCTCTCAATTAGTTGCCTCTGTATAATGCAAGAATAATCTATATACTGTTATATACAGTCACAGTATAGATTCGACATGGGAAGACTACAAAGATATGTATATTGTCGTTATTCCTCTAGTCGTTGTAGTTAAGAGAGTTACGTTTGAACTCTCCATCAGCAGTGGTTAAAGTGGGGATGCATACAGCAATTATGGGCCACGACATACCAACTATGTCGTTGGGGGGGGGGTAAAACATTAATTTTAGTGATCTGCTGATGGAGTAATGAGCAAAGATCATGATTACACGGGAATATCCAAATCTCCTCACAGGCCTGGGAAAATGCCCATATAATATATGCTAGCATATAAGAGACAAGACAATATAACCGCCTTTTCGCAGTCACAATAAACAATTAATACCTTTAAACCATGCATGCGGTTTAATCTGTAACACATAGAAGTACTGTAAAATAGCTTCTAGCTATCCGGCAAGCAATAAGTGAATTTAAATCCACGTGAAATTAAAATGCATCATATTGGCTGACGTTCAATTTTGTATATGTATCGCTCATAAGGTCTATGTCTCCCTGGGTACTGCCGGAACGTACCCTGGGTATACGGTCCGGTATACCGGAACGTACCCTGGTAACTATCTGATATGGTTAGGGTTAGGGTTAGGGTTAGGGAGTAGGCGTAGGCGACTCCCTAGACTCGTTAGTGGAGTAGGCGAGGTACGGTCCGACACATTAGAAGTTACCAGGGTACGTTCCGGTATACCGGACCGTACCCAGGGAGACATAGACCCGACGGGCATATGTATCGTGTTCTACTCTACACATACATCGATGCACACACACGATTAAAAGCATTAAAATATACAGCCAGTCTCCATGAGGTATCCTATCGTAGTCTATCGTCTGCTATGACCCGTGTCATCTGGATGCAGTGCAGCTGTGATGATTTCTACGTAGCGCACTCTTCACATCTATCGCTCTTCTCATCTGAGCTTCTTTTCCTAGTGAAAGAAAAAAGCAAATTAGCACATTACACATTTCCCTTTGATGACCAGAAAACAACCAAATTATTACGTTTGCTGAACTGAATCTTGCCATGCGTATATGATTACCATTACTAATCCATATAAAACTTGCTGAAAATATTGACAATTTTAATAATGTCATCATGATTTCTATTATAACTGAAATCAACTAAAATGGTCTATATTTCTATAACACAACCTTCTAGAGGTCATAACAATAAATTGGTTCTTAATTTTGTACGACCACATCCCATTCTCGGGAAAATAAGACCAGATACAAGTAACATATTGTATAGCCATTGAATATTATTTTGCAGGACGTGTACTTGATAATGAGCACAAGTTAAACCTCACAAGCAGCTAGATTGGTGCTATAACACAGCATATAGTGGGTCAACATGTAAATAACATATATTGTCATGCTTTGTAACCTTTAAATCCATTATAATTACAGTAATATATAATTATAGCAACTGCATATATTATAATGCATGATAATTTATAGATGCGTATATGGGTATTTGCCCATGTGGATAAATAATTTAGATTATTTAAAATATATTACCTTACAATTGATCACCATCCTAATTACCCCAAAACCAGAGGAACATACATGCCATCTAGTGCAGTTAGTCTAACAGTGAGTGTAGAAATAATATTAGCAATAAGCAATTCGTTAACATCTAACACCAAGTTATGCTGAGAGGGTCTATGTCCCCCAGGGTACTGCCGGAACGTACCCTGGTACTATCTAATATGCCGGACCGTACCTCACCTACTCCACTAACGCGTCTAGGGAGTCGCCTACGCCTACTCCCTAAGACCCTAACCCTAACCATATCAGATAGTTACCAGGGTACGTTCCGGTATACCGGACCGTACCCAGGGTACGTTCCGGCAGTACCCGGGAGGACATAGACCCTATGAGCCCAAGTTATATAGTGTATAGAACTTAGTGATACTATGAACATATGTATAGAATAAACATGCTATACACACGTTAATTTCTAAGCAAGGGATAGTTGCACTAACTATTGCTATAGTCTATCATACACAGCATGCATCTTCCTTCATCCATCATAGACAAACAATTAAAATTAAACCAAATGAACACATTAAATCACATTAGTACATATTAGACACATAATATACTCCTGATATATATATATATATATATATATACATCAGATCAGTATCGGTTGATTATGACCAGTCAAATGTACCTGCCGCCGGGAACAGTGGATGCTAAATGTGTGTCTTGGGTCGCAGTCTGAAATAATGCGTGAGTTACTACGCGAGGCACAGGGCGGGGTTTAGAGAAGGCAAGGCTGTAGTATAGGAAGCAGTAGAGGCCTTATTTTGGCAATTGTTAATAGAGAATAAGGCTGTGTAACAACGGAACTTGGCAAGAATGCTGCGATACAAGCGGCCACAGTCACGCCATTCCAGCCCGCAAAGCAATCAGCCGATTCCCGGGTGCAGTGATGTCTGCCAACGTTGATTCCCACACCGTACACAGTGAGGACTAATGGTGCCGGACATAGATGGGTTGAGACTACTTAGGTGTGAGGACTACTGAGTCATGACTGACTGGCGAGGACCTGACTGGGTGAGGACTACTTGGGTGAGAACTGACTGAGTGAGGACTGACTGGGCAAGGACTAATAAGTCAGGACTGACTGAGTGAGGACTAAATGGATGAGGACTGCTTGGTGAGGACTGACTGGGTGAGGACTGAGTGTTGTGAGGACTGACTGGGCGAGGACTAATGGTTAAGCACTAACTGGTTAGCACTGACTGGGTGAGCACTGACTGGACCAGGACTGACTGAACTGTGGACTGACTGGACTGGGACTACGACGGGTGAGGACTGACTGGACCAGGACTGACCAGGTCAGGACTCAGGTGCCGAGGGAGCTACTGAGGGAATGCATCTGGACCTAGCTGCATGTTCAATCACCAGCTTGTCTCAATCACCAGGTCCTGAGCATCTGTCGGCTTTACAACGAGCGAAACAGAGAAGGCATATCAAAGGGAAGCGATGTTGGTGATTACGTGAGGAGGAGGAGGTGAGAGACGCTTACGCTTCCGTCAGAGTTCCCGCAGGTGCCAGAGGGAGAGTCGCCACAGTACGGGTGCCAGCAACAGACTCAGGACGTAATGCTGAGAATCAGTAATAAACCTGGAAGACAAACACACAACACAATACGGTGCTGCATGAGCATTAATGCATTAATTAATTAATTATCACTGCCAGATGTTTGTAGTCTACGCAGCGCTTCCTTGCTGCTCAAGCGCCGACATTTATTCAATGTTGAATGGCACTATTTTAACAAGTTAGTTGTGAATTGCTTTGTAAGGTAATGTGTTCTGAGTAACTGAGTAACTTCTGATTTCCTAGTTTTTAATACAGTTGATGATTAATACTGAGCAAACAACAGAGCATTGTATTCTAGTATACACACATCACACGTCGAATCCCATCTCACAAAACCGAAACCTGCATAAGGCGCGGCATGAAACTCACACTAAACTTGTAATCACGTAGCGCACATCGTGAAACTGCCGCTGAAAGGGTCGTTGTCGTATAGGGTACTACATATATGTATCCGAGATAACTATCTGATATGGTTAGGGTTAGGGTTAGGGTTAGAGTTAGAGTTAGGGAGTAGGCGTAGGAGACTCCCTAGACTAGCGTTATATTACATTTATGTATACATATATGTACCTCGGGTACATATATGTATTACCCTATATGACAACGACCCCTTCAGCAAAACTGCCAGGACAAAGAACAGCATAGCATGACAGTAGCCAACGACAAATCCTCATAAAAATTAAAATTTTTTATCGAAACGAGATCTAGAGACGATGTTCTGGTGCGTGCACCCCCACCCGGCGAACTATACTCCAGGGCCGTAGATAGCCGGGAGGGCATAGGGGCAGTTGCCGCCCCCCAGAAAAAAAGTAGATACAAAATATGGTCAAAGGCAGTCACTTTCCCAGAACACACTATGTACATGGCTCCCGCCCAGAAAAAATTGGCTAGCTACGCTTCTGTATTCATGATATTCTACATTCGTATTTCGGTGAAGCTATTCATCATCCCATAGAATTCGTCTGCTACTTCCGCCAGGCAGATGCATCCTCGCCATCGCGACGATAATGTCTTCGCCCGACTCCCCCTGGTGCTCACCTCTCTGTTGATGAGATGGAGTCGGCGGGCACNGATGCATCCTCGCCATCGCGACGATAATGTCTTCGTCTGACTCCCCCTGGTGCTCACCTCTCTGTTGATGAGATGGAGTCGGCGGGCACGGCTTGCCAGCACGAACGAGAACTCGCTGACTTGTGAGAGGCCCGCCGACACGATCCACCGCACGTGTGACGTCTTCTGCGGCAGCAGACATGACAGCACGGCCATGCTCAGCGCGTACTGCAAGCGACACAGCAAGAGCAAGGTCACGCGAAGGTCGCAAGCGACACGGCAAGAGCAAGGTCACGCAAAGGTCGCAAGCGACACGACAAGAGCAAGGTCACACCAAGATCGCACGTGATGAGATGCTGTTTGGTAGCCGAACAACTGTTTAAACTGCAACTCGATGTGGACCGTGCTACTCTGCACGTGTACTCAGTAAAACTCAGTGGCACCCAGGAATTTCATAAAACAGGGAGCCATCAGCGATATGCTGATGTTTATCAGTGCTAGTTGGTAGGGCAGGCAGGCCATCACCCTAGAGACAACGCATCATAACTGCCTTCATTACCATTGTGATTACGGAGTAAATTTAAATTTCATTGACAACAAGGGTAACTCATTGGTGACCTGCATTTCACTGAGCATTCCAACATATTTACCAATATATATATATATATATTCCAGGTACATTCACGATGTCTAAAATTTTGCATACCTTGATGAGGACGACGGCAAATGTCAACCAGATGATCACGGTTAACTCGTAGGCCACAAACGACGGGAACACATGCATACCTGCAACATTCAAACGAAAGCCACACTTCAACGTAACATACTTTTCACTCTAAACGCGATCGCGGTATAGCGATCGGGCAAATATACCATGGGAATCATTATTCGATATGCCATAGTACAAGCTGTAGGCACAGACGATCACTACGCTCATTAAATCCGACATTTCCTCCAACTTTTGACAAACCTACGTAACAACAGTCACCCTGAGCTATCAAAACAAATGTAGTGTTCCTCAATCAACTTCCCCTTTCTCACGCCCATGTAAGCACATGCAAAGCTGTGCACATCTCGACTGACTGGCTCACCGACTGACTCACCGAATTACTAACCGACGATAAGGAACAAAAGCTGCACTTAGATTTAATGCATTTCACTCTAAACGTGGTCGACGTATCCCTATAACGATTCAGCTAACATACGCAGGAAACCTCAATCTACGTGCCATGGGAAAGCCCCCGACAGCGCCTCTGACACGCACGACTCACCGACAGAGGCGAAGAAGAGAACGGCGAAGAAATCGCGGATCGGATGAATGAGATTCTTGATGTCCGACACGAGCTCATGTCGCTGCGATCCGACCATCGCCCCGACAACGAAGCAGCCGAGCTCCATCGAGATGTGCAGCGTGTGCGTGACCTGGTCAACGTCAAGGTCAAACTCAAGGTTGGAACATGTTCGAACGTCACCCGAAGGATTTTGTTCTCACGAATGAACGATTGGCATTGGTCAAATAAACACCCCACAATAACGACAGGCTTTCTCAGAGTGCAGACAAAGAAGCAGGGAAATATCTTTTTCCTGAGGGAAATTCGAGAACGGAGGGTTCGAAGCGAACACGCTCGATTCGCTGACGATTTCGGAAGAAATTCGCAACTTTTTCAACTCTACGCTTCTCTTTCTAAACTAAACAACTAAGCTAAAATCCAAAACAAAAAAAGCGTTTTCGACTTCATATATATTCGTTCGCGATATCATGGCTGACCGACCATATACGACGCTTCTAACAACATGGAGAACAGCTGTTTTAACGATTTAAGAGTCTCGTTACCAGCAGCATGAAGAAGCAGATGGCCACGGCTCCCACTGTCATTAACTCCCTGCTGCCTGAAGCACTCAGCTGCGCGAGAACGCTCCCGATGACAAACCGAGAGGCGAGAAGACCGGCGGCCATGACACCCGCCAACACTGAAACAACAAGCCGCACGAAATGTTAACGGTTTTGCAGCTTATGTCGACAGATTTTTGCCAAAATTCAATCTTCAAAAGATAACGTTGTTACACTTGGGTGCTTACACTAAGGGGGAAAACTGCATCGCGGAGATAGATAGGCAAACGTGGTGACAAACTGGTTTCTCATAAATACATATATTTCTCACTGTTAATTGTTATCCACTTTTCATTACACAATTTTTCAAACACGGTCCCAACTCACTGCCCCAGTCATCCCATTATCTCCCAACGATCACAATATGTGCTTGCAATACTTTTTGTGTAATTATCTCTAGTAATTTTGCTAGCTTCGTATTTAATTATTTACATACTTACCTAAATTACGCATTGATAATTACCCAAATGAAAAAAGAAATCAACAATAAAACTCCCTCTACGTACGTGCAGTTTACTGTGAGGATGCATACGTACCGAAGAAAAGGTAAACGTGGTGATAAAAATGCTTTCTCATAAACACGCGTATATCTCGCTGTCATACGTACCTGCCATCAGACGCGCGACGAGAAACGCGAAAGCCGTCGTCGTGCTCGAATCCTCGTCGCTGTTGTGGGCGACGACCAGCGAGGGCAGCAGAGCGATGAGAAGCCCCAGCAAGACGTCCTGCATCACCAGGATTCCCAGCAGGATTACGCCGTGGTCGCTGTCCGACGAATCTACGAGGACAGTGCAGCAGGGCGTCAAGTGACAAGTGACGCTCAAAAAATAGGAAAAATAGGA